TGTCTTGTGAACTCGCAGCTTCTGATGAGTGGGTTATTGTGTTTCCTGGAGGATGGTAATAATGTCTTTCACCAACTCTTTGAAGTTTGCTTCCCAATCTCTTCAAAATTCTCCTTGTTAAACTTTTTTAAAGTTGCTGTTGCAATATCTTTGTGTACTTCTCGAATTTTTGACGTCACAAGAAACAGTGATACTGAAGCTGTAGTAAACGTCTTGAACGGAATTAGTAGAATCGCCTTTCGTAGGTGAAACCATTATGTCCAATGAAGTGGGAACATGCAGGATTATTGTTGATCGCTTTCTTCCTTCTGATGTAGCCATATCTTTTTGCTACTTTTCATTTTTTTTGACAAGACTCCAAAAAAAGATTCAAAAAATTACAAGACTCATAGAAAGACTCAACCTAAATTGGCCACAAATAAACCTTTGGACAAAGCTTGGAGCAAACTCTGACTTGAACAAACCAACAACCTAGGACATCCTATACTCTGCTCTGATACCAAAATTGGTTGGGCGCAAGAAATATAGGGGAGCTCTATACCCCTCTCCGCCACAAGAGAGAATGGACGACACAAAAAAAAGGAGACGACGACTTGAGACGGAAATTCAAGAGAGACAGAGAGAAGATGAACAAACTCTTACACTTCAAATTGACATAAATAAAAACTTACAAACTAGACTCCAAAATAAGAATGACGACACGCACCTAATAGTTTGACTTGAGAACGGATATCAGGTGGCTAAGCATAACCTGGCACTTGCGGAAGAACGACAGGAGGTTATAAGCGCCCTGGTGAGAAGAAAAGATGAAAGAGCCCGCAGATATTTTCCGGAGGGGATTCGAGGAAAAAGGGGAAAAGACCCGCTAGTGATTTCCAAAGCAAACCCGCAGGTTTCAAGCTTTTTCCGATAAATCACATTTTCAGTACTTCCAATTTCAGAACATAAACAATCCCCCATAATATTATGATATGACAAGGGAATTACAAAGAGACACTAACAGTAAATTTCCAAAATTCTAAACAACACAATTAAGTTAAACACTAGTGTCTTGGCACGAAAAAAACATCCCAAAACCCCAAAGAACCGAATGGTAGCCCGCTGGGATGCAAGAGGCCGCATCGGGAAACCAAAGGTCCACGGTCACGGGAGGTGAGCCCAGGCATGGAAATCTACAGCCGGCCGGGAGACAAACTTATGACATTAAAAACTATTAATAAAAGTGCATGTTGCATTAAAATAAAGGATAAATATGAGCTAAAACTTAGCTAATAATGAGCTAACCCTTAGTTCAATAAGTGAAGTAAAGACCAGCTCATAAATGAGCTAAAATTTCAGCTCAATTTTGATTGAGCTAGTAGACTCAAGGGAAGCCAAAATTCATATTATTTTGGACATTGGTTGACCCCCCCTTTGTCTACATCAATTATTAATAAAAAAAATTTGTGTTTTGCACTTGGGTTCTTTGGGAAGAACGTTATTGAAATCCTTATGGGAGGGAGTCGGAGTTTCCACCAACCGCAGGATGGGTCCGGGTTCATGGCGTGAAGTCCCTTGGAGAAGGGCAACTTAGTACCCGTCAGCCGCAGGATGTGTTCGGGCTCGCGGTTGTATCTTTGATATTTTGGTTTTGCTTTTGTTCCTTCTTATTGCTCTTCATCGTTATCTTCATCTTCTTCCTCCTCCCCATCTTCGTTTGGCCGCCGGATTCTAGCTTCACCCAAAAACCCCTCTTTTCCCCGTCCAACGCCCACGACCAACTTCCCACCCAAGCTCCCATACCACCGGCCAAAGAGACACTAACATTAAATTCCCATAGGAATTCTAAACAACACAATTAATTAAAACACTAATGCTTTGCACGAAAAAACATCCCAAACCCAAGAACCAAAGTGGTAGCCGCGAGAGCCAAGGAGACCGCACGGGAACCAAGGGGCCACAGTCACGGGAGGGAGCCCAGGCATGGAAATCCAGCAGCCGGCCGGGAGACAACTTTAAGACATTAAAAACTATAATAAAAGTGCATTAAATAAAAGATAAATATGAGCTAAAATCATAGCTAATAATGAGCTAACCCTTAGTTCAATAAGTGAAGTAAAGACCAGCTCATAAATGAGCTAAAATTTCAGCTCAATTTTGATTGAGCTATTAGACTCAAGGGAAGCCAAAATTCATATTATTTTGGACATGGGTTGGCCCCCCCTTTGTCTACATCAATTATTAATAAAAAAAATTTGTGTTTTGCACTTGGGTTCTTTGGGAAGAACGTTATTGAAATCCCTATGGTAGGGAGTCGGAGTTTCCACCAGCCGCAGGATGGGTCCGGGTTCATGGCGTGAAGTCCCTTGGAGAAGGGCAACTTAGTACCCGTCAGCCGCAGGATGTGTTCGGGCTCGCGGTTGTATCTTTGATATTTTGTTTATTTGCTTTTGTTCCTTCTTATTGCTCTTCATCGTTATCTTCATCTTCTTCCTCCTCCCCATCTTCGTTTGGCCGCTGGATTCTAGCCTTCACCCGAAAACCCCTCTTTTCCCCGTCCAACGCCCACGGCCAACATCCCACCCAAGCTCCCATACCACCGGCCAACCCTCTAATCGCCGGTTCCCCATCCACCTCCTCATCCCCATTAATTCCTTGCTTAATTTGGGTGATTTAATTTTGGGCGGTTTTCAAAATTCAAATCCAACTAATTTGAAATTTGAAAATTTTCCTAATTTGTCATTCTATTTTTGAAAAATTGTAAATGAGTTCTATTTTAATTTTAAATTCAAATGGATCTAAATAATTCTTTCCCTATCCCATTAACCCTTTTGAATTATTTCCTAATCTCATCTATTAGTTAGGAAATAATTTGAAATCACCCATAAATCCCTCTTGACCGAATTTCCTACTCACCTTGCTTGGATTGATTTGTTGTCTAAGTGAAATTCCACTTTTGGGAATAAAATTAATTCTCCCCTTTTCTTTTCCCTGCATTGCCGCCCCCCTTTCACCTCCATCTTGAATTATTCTTTATTTCCTATTCTCCCATTACTGCATTGGCAACTATTTCCTCTTGCTTGGCCGAATTCCTTAAGCTCCACCTCATCTCCCTGTTAATTCCCTCTCATTAACAGCTTATCTCATTACGGGAGAAATCCCCTCCGTTTCCTAAATCACATTAATTGAAATCTGCATCTAATTTCAGATTTCAATTAACCTCCCCATACTTATTTCTTTCTCATTCCTACTTTGGCTCTAAGGTATTTCCTAATACTAAAGGTGTGATTTAGGAAATAAGAACTCACGCCCTCTCAATCCCGTGGTTATTAAATTGCTTTCCAGCAGTTTTTCTCACTGATTTGGGAAATTTAAACCTCTTGCATGCTGGGCAGATTTCTGGAATTAATCCCGTGCTTAATTCCCTCCCCATCCTCAATCCCGCCAGCCCCTCCATCCCCTCCATCCCCCTTGGCTTAAATCAATATTTGTTTCCTAAAACCCATCCTATGCTATTACAGAAAACAATTCCATATCTCCCTAGGAATTTCTCTGGTCTCCACCGGATTTTCTCCATTGAATTCTCTCAGGTTTTTTTTTTTTTTTTTTTTTTTTTTTTTTTTTTTTTTTTTTGGGGAAAACCAAAAGCAGAAATTGTTCTAAAAATTTTGGAGCTCCTACCCGTTCTACATCAGTTTTATTTCCCAATGACAGGTTTAATGCCTAGAGATATATTTAATAGGAACAAATGAACAATAATGATTCATAAAGCAATCCCCAAATAGTAGAAGTAAAGGTTAATGATAATGGTGATATTTTTATATTCGTATTAATATTTTATCTTTATTTCTATTTGTTTATCAAGTTTCAACACCAGTTTAATCTTTGAACCTTGAAGCGTCTCCCTTTGGTTTGATTTGTGCATATGGTTTTTAATACATTGATTATGAGTGGTTTCTAATTCAACCAAGCATTATAAAATCTTCTTATTTATTGTAATATTGAAACTTTTATTTTTGTTATTTACATGAAAGAATTGAAATTCATGTATGAAGTTATTCTTTTTGTTTAATTATGATCTAATCATTAGTTTTGGTTTGCCTTAAATGATGTATTCTTGTTTCTATTTGCCTAGGAATGGTTGTGGGAAAATCAACCAACATTTTTTTTATGGTTCTGTTGCTGCAGTTCGTTTCAATCCCTTCTTCTATTGATACAATTTTGCTTGGTTCTTTTGTCCTCTGTACCAATTTGGATTCAATGCAATTTTTTTGGATTCCATCAAATGATAACATTGTCTCCATTATCTTAATTTGTTTCATTCAAGCTAATTTTGTTGAATATATATATATGTGTGTGTGTGTGTGTGTGTGTGTAAGGTTATTCTCATATTAGCTTATAATTTTTTGCTCCTTTTATATTTTTTTGGGACCCCACCATTTTTAACATTTTTAGTTTATCTTCTGCTGCAGTGGATCAGATGGAGTGCTACTTCAAGAAGAGCACTTTATGTCCAATCCCTATCATTTGGTAAGTAGTAAATGCTTTCCAATTTTGAACATTCAATGGTTTTGTGCGTCTACTTACAGATTTCATCCAATAATTTATTTATCCAGATTTGTGCTTTGTGGAAGTTCTATTTTTATTTTCCTTCTATTATTACATTGGACAGCAATGATTTCTATCATGAATTAAACATGCATGATGCCGTACACCCAAAGCTCTATGGTTCATAATGCTTGCTAAGATGATACAATAAATGTTGATCATGCAAAAAAATAAATAAATAAATAAAGACCACTAATTACACAATATTTTCTTTAGGTGTACACTCAAAATACGGTAAATTGAACCAAAATGATATTGCAACGATCAAATGAATGAGAACAACTTAGCTAGAAGCTCAACTACAAAAAAAATTAGCAAGTAAAAATTTTTTTACCGCATTTGAAATCCCAGTTGTAGCAAAATTTTCTAAAAATTATGACTCTTACAAAACCAACAACAAAATGTTTGAGAAGAAAATAGATTGATGAAAGAAGTCACCAAAGTGGAGAAAGTTCATGCGTCACACTGTTAACGGGGATATTTTCATCAGAAGTTGTCTATCGCACTTGCTTTGTACTTGGAAGGAATTTAAGATCAATAGGCACATAAGATTGAAAACAAAACAAGATACAAAATTCATATCCCAATCAGCCTCAATCACATTGAACTCACTACACATGCTGTCATGCACTGCTGATACACAGCGGAAGGTATATATAATCAAATAAGCTCAATCAGATAATTCCTTGGAAATTCAAATAGCTCCAAATAATATGTGGGAATGTAAAACCCAACAGCTGAACTGATATACACAATCAGTTTAACTGAACCAGCTAGGTGAACCAATCATGGGGACATCAGATCATGGAAGGTCTATCAGAGACGTGGTCGTCGATCTACGACCATGATTGAGTCATTGTATTTCTAATTTGTTTTATGTATTTTCTTATTTATGTATTTGCTTTATTAGTTTCTCGTTGTACCCTTTTATTAAGGGATGTCGTATGTAAGCCCTAGGGGCATTGTTGTCCTTTATGTTTTGAGTCATTGTAGGACGCAATTTATAGCCTCATTGTTCTTCTTTTCAAGTAATGAATGAATGATAAAAAAAATTTCCCGTACTTTGAGTTCTTGAGAGAGCTTGAGAAAGGTTGGAGAGAGATCCCTAGGAGAGGGAATTGGATCACCCACCAATCTTGGAAGAGTCCGGATTCGTGTTTAGTTTTGAAGTTCTTTTCTCCTTCTTCCTCCTTCCTCTCTTTTCCCAACGACCCTCTCCACCATCGGCCAACTACAAGCTCCTTTCCCCTTGGACCTTGAGCTAGTATCTCTAGTTTCCCATCTCACCCGACCCCACCCCGTCTCACCCAAATCCGACGGCAAGCCCAACTAAGCCGTCGGGCCCCCCTTGTGTCCCCCCCCCCTTTGGCTTGTGTCAAACCTTTCCATTTGGGTCTTTCTAGGATATGAAACTTATTTAATTCAAATTCAAATTAATTTATGAATCCTATTTTTGTAAAGTTTCCTAATTAAATTCTATTTGAATTTAAAATTCAAATTGGATTTAAATATCCCTTCCCAAATATTCAAATCCAAATCAAGCAATTTTAATTGCTCTCCCTAAATCCCTCTCCCTCCTATGGATGCCGCCGGCCCCCCATCCCATTAATCCCTATTGATTTCTTTCCTAATTGCTAACACCTCATTTGGAAAGATTTCAAACCTTTTCCCCTCTCTTCTAGCCGCCCCCACCCTTTCCTTAATACATTTAAATCTTTTCCAAACAAAAGGGCTTAATTAGAGGAACAATTACTTGGATTTTCGGATTTTCCCACCTCTTTCTCCCAAAATATGAACCTAAATTCTTCCCCCATCCTCCCTCATTGGGCCGGCCACCCCTTCCTTCTTTTCCACTTCAACTCTTGGGAGAAACTTCTTTCTCTCTTGTGGAGTTCTCAAGGAAGGCAACAACGATCGTCATCCACACTTCAACCTCTCGAACTCAATGAATGGCTGATCCTGAGCTTGACTACGGCCTCTCCTACGACGAGCAAGGATTTGTTTGCATCTTGCACTCGACTTTCTTCGACGTCAACCCGCACATCGACCACTTCATAGAAGAGTACGTGGATCGCATCTTGGATACCTTGGTTGAGGCTATTGAAGGCAACTTGGAACCGTCGAGTGGAGGATTACAACTGATCCTTGACGAAGGTTTCTAATCTCTCTTTTCTTGTATTCCTTCAAGTCTAACCCCTCCTTGTGATTTGATTTCAGTCGTGAAGATTGCGTTTGTCTCATTCTGCCAAGTTTAGTAAACGTAGGGAATTGAGTGTACTTCATTGTTTTCTAATCTTATTGTTATATTAGATATTTTCGTTGAAAGCTACTACTTTTGCATGATATTGATTTCCTACGTTATTTTGATGATTCAAAGCTCTTGATATGCAACTTAGCCTAAACAAAAGTGACCACTCTTACGTTTTGATTCATCGTTTTATTTGCTAATAGTTCTATTTGTTATTTCTCTAATCAATAAGTTGTGCAAGCTCTTAATAATATTATTGCAAAGCATTGTAGTCATACATCAACCAGTCCAAGGAAAATCATGCTAACGGAAAACACATCTTATTCTCAAGCATTCATCATTGGCATGTCCAATACCCAAAATTGAAAATTAAGAAATAAAATAGAACTACTAAAATAAATCTAGTGAGTTCAGTTTTCAATTGACATTTCCATCTAATATAAACATGTTGATCTTCATCACTGCACCTTATGTACCCTTCTTTGTGTCATTCTGATGGTGCCTTGCTCCCACCTAGACTATGCTGTTAGTACTGCTGCCAAACATTTTGCATGCATCATCTCAGTTAATTTTTTTCCTCTAAAACATGTCCTCATCTAGATTTTTTCTACTTAGGTTTACTTTTGAGCATATGAAATTATGTTTGGTCATATTTAATAATTTTAGATGTATTCAAAGCATATTTATGATGATAGACTAGTAATTTGTCTTTGCCTGAATGAAGTAGCAATCAGGCGGAGGAATCTTATTCTACATAAGATGGATGACCATTAGTTTTCTTCATTGTTTATCCTTTGGTTTTAAGATGTTCTTTTAGATATACACTTCTCTATATTCTCTTGTCAAGATTTCTCATAATTCTAGCTCTTTCAACACTGGAACTAATTTTTTACGACTTATTTCTCTCTCATCACATAGCTAGGAGCATTTTCCTCTCAAGTTTTTCAAGAGTCTCCCAGGGATAGAGTACGAAGGAAAAAATGTAAGATTATCTTTATTTCATTATTCAAAGTAAGATTGCCAATAGCACGTGCTGTTTGTAAATGCAGAAAACATTTCATTTAAAGCTATGTATTTCCTTATAACGGTCATAACCTTGTCATTATCTTGATATTTGCTTTGCAGCACTTACAGATGACATTGAGAAACATTGCAACATTGAGATAGCTGCTCAGGTTTCCCGGATCTCATCTAGCCAAGCAGGTATAAGATCATCTAAGCTTTGTTTATTTCTGTCTATTTCTAATTTGCTTTTTCATTTCGCTGTCATTGGGGGTTTATTTTGTGCTGGATTCCTCAGTTAAGAACCTCTAATTATAGAAAATGTGTAGGATTCTTCTTCACACATCTGCACATAGTCTCTACTGAGGTTGTTCATATTGGTGCTGGCTGAAACTAGGAACTGTTTATCTATGCATGCTGTCCCTATTATCTAAAATGAATCTCTTTTCTTCTTGGGATTTGAACTTAAATGTTTTCTAATGGATACACTACTAACAATTTTGCAAGAAAGAAAAGATGAAAATTTAAAAAATATGCATTTATGATTACTTGACGTTTTTTTTTCCTTTGATAAAATTATGTCATTCGGAACTGATTTGATACAATCAATTGTTTTGCTTGACTTGTTTATACCAAATAAAACATGGCTATCAAAATTCACTAATGCAATCAGTTGTTTTGATTGATTGTATTAGCAGATAATTTTTCTGGAGTAATATTATTTGACTGTTCTTATGGTTTAACAATTTCATTGGGCATGCTTTGTCTAATTTTAAAATTAGGGAGGATTCATTTTCTAATTCAAGTTTGAGATGAGATGTGATCTCATATTTAAGTTCAATTTTAGATTGAGGTTATGACTCTTATTGAGTTTCAAGTTTAGGTGCATATACAAGCTCTTATGCAAACTTCATGAAAGGTTCTTATGTAGATGTTAGTGAAAGTTCCAATTTTGATTGAAATTGCATGTTAGATATTAAGTTATTCTCCATTTGATCAAGAAGGTTTGTGTCAGACATGCGTTTGCCCTTCAAGCTAAATGAAATGCTCCATGTCAAATGGCTTATGCACGTTTGTTGAGGGGATTACTTCAACCCAAATGGGTTGCTCTAAGATGAACATATTACCTTGAAAATGAATGGCTTTGTAGAGATGATTCTTTTCGTTATGTTTCCATTTTTTTATGATCTTAAAACACCCCCTTTGTTGTATCCTTTCATCTATATCACATCTTTTCATGTATGGATGCCAAATGTCTCCCATTTTATTGTAATTGCCTCTACCCTTATCCATATGAAGTGTAGGAAGTTGAAGGCTTAGGTAACTAGATATTTTTCCTTCTTTTCTCCTTCTAGTTTTTTATTTTTTGAGTCCTAATTAAGGGATAAGGGTTAAAGTAGACCAATTCAAAGCTTTAGATATAATTGGCGATTCAAGTCCATCTTGCATTTCTTTTGTCTCTATGCTTTTGTGCGTCCCAATATGACTTTTATAGGCATCAAAACGGCACGAAACATTATTTAGCCTATGAAAGTTTTTTTCAAACATATTGTTTTGAAAAGTCACATAAATAAGAATCATTTCGTTCTACATAGCTATATTTGATAATTATTTTTTATACATGGATCACCATTGGAATGATGTTCATGGATTTTATATGTCATGAAATCACTTGATCTTATGGTTTTGGGGTTATTGTGTTTGCTTGATAGGCTTTTTATGAGATGTAGGTGATTTTTCCTTAGTAAAATTAACCAATGGTGCAATAGTTCCATTAAGAGGAAAACTAAGATGTTTTTAACTAGTAAAACTCTTTATTTAGCGTCATATATAATTTACTGAACAAAATAATTTTCCCCCTATATATATATATATATATATATATAAAGAATTATAGCTTAAATCACATTTCATTTCTTACCAAAGACATTTAACATAACCAATATTGATAATAAAATCATCGAGAAAATGACCAAAATGGTCTCTCAACTCTTTGTGGGGAACAAAATAGTCCCCAATGGTTGTTCCATTGTGCTAATAGTTGCATTTTAACTTCTTTCTAGATGGTGAACATGATTGCTATCACTTGGAGGGGTTAATGGAGAGTCCTGCAGTTGAGGATGATGGAGAGTGCTTTTCACCAATACTTCTAAATGCCACTTCGCTCAATGTTGAGGTCTACTATAACAAAGCTGTTAACTATACCTTAATGGTTACTTTTGTATCCTTCATGACCAAGAATTCTGCTCTGATTTCTATTCATTAATAGAGCTCCGCAATGGGAGCTTTGCATTGGCACACCAAAATAATGTAATAATGGGTCATCTGTGCAGATTTTGGTCAATAAAAGAGTATCAACCGCCAGGCACAATAACTTCTGCCCATAACTAGCATTATGTTTTTATTACAGTGATAGCTTAGATTTCCTTGACCTTCCTATTAAATAGATTTCATTCATCCAAGTTCTGCTACTGATTCGACAGATGGAACATAGCAATACTCAATCTGTAAGGTTTCTTCTTGCCTTCACAACTTCTAGTTTAAATAGTTTGCTAAATGTCCATTATGTCCTTAGTTTTAAATTCCTGCTTGTAAATTATTCTGGATCTGTCAAATTTCATTTGTTATTTAAGAGCACTTGATTTTCTTCCAGGGTGCTGCCAAAGTTTCTATTTTGATGATTGGTCAACAGGCCATTATGGATGCATATCTTTGTCTTTTGCATTTGACTGCTGGAATTTTAGTAGGTGAGTAGTGATTGTTTCTCCTATCACGATGACTAAGTCTCAATATCATATTGAATTTATAATTCTGTACATTTGCATTTTTTTTGGCCTAAATTGGAAGAAAAATATTAAAATTATAGGAAAATTATGTACATAGCACTCAAATCATATATATTTACAAGTTTAACACCTATACCAAAAAATAAACTATAGAAGCTTTGCATTTGTGCTTGCTACAATCAAACCGTTGGACCAAAGCCAAAAATGCATGTCAGATTTTTGTGTGAATTTTTATATTTGTATGAGAATTTGATGAATGAAACTGAGAGGATTTCATTTCTTTTAATAGACAAAATTTTGGAGTTAGACATGAAATTATCCCTCAAATTATTTTTGTTTTTTTCTTTCTAGAATCTCTCATGAGACCTGTTTATGGTGACTATCTATGGTAATGTCAGGTGAAGTTTATAAAGAATTCCTAATGATATTGTAGTCCATAATTTGTTAGAGGTTGTAGAATTGTCCTATCTCTTAATGTTATTTTACTGCTATGAGATTGGATAGGTATCAAATATGTGCAAGATTCATAAAAAATTATCAATTTGTATTATTTATTTGTATTCATTTCCTGGTATCATCTTGGATACATATGCTTCACCATAACAAAAAAAAAAGCTTCACCATAACTATTAATATTAATTTCTTTGCAGGATGGCATTTGATGGAACATTTATTTATTCCTTTATATTAAAACATAAAAATAAACATAAATCTGTCATAAATGATAATTTAATACTTATTTATTAGAAGTAACTAATAGAAATTCAAGACATTTAAAGCATTTGTTTGATTTGAAATCATGCACAATCGAAAATCATATTGTACTTGACAAAACTCAATTAAACATATAAACCAATAACCAGAAATTAGAGATTAAAAAATTGAATATGGTAACAGATCGCTCAATAGTAGTAGTGTAACACTAAGCCTCACTCTTGTATAAGGATATAACTAACCTCAAGTCATATCATGGGACATGCAAGCTCATTTATGATCATTTTGGGTATTTTCTTTATATATCCTGCTCGCCAACTTACTATCTAGCAATGCTTGCAATTTGTTTAAGGAAAGGTAAATGATCAAGTATGTATCGTTGGCCTTTTTTATTATCGAATGGCTTCATGAATTATTCTTTGGTAGTCACTCCTTTATGTTGCATTTGGTCTAATTCTTGCTGAAAATAACTCTTCTGCCAACTTACACCATTACTAAACAATCTACCCTCCTTGCCCTAAATGATCATGCTTATAGATCATATTCTTCTTTGATTATCATAAAATTTAATAATTAATTTAGTTTCATCATGCTAATTTTCATTGACCATAACAATTTTGTTTTTATTGTTATTTTAAGCAACATTGAGCTATAAATTAATATAGATTTTTTTTTTTTGTTAACTCTTTGTTTGTGCATAATAATCATCAAAGTAATGCTTATCTATGTATTTCTTGGTTTATGTTTCAGAGTCCCTATTCAATGCTTTTGCGACAGCAGCTTTCTTCAAGTTTGTAGTTTTTTCTATTTTTGAGATGAGGTACCTTCTCGCTATTTGGAAGGCAAGTAGACCCTTAAGCAATGGTGAAGGTTGGGAGGCAATGAGACGTGAACTATCAGTCCTCTACAGCCGTTTCTGTAAGACTTAATTTGTATTCTTGCATGTGCGGTTCAGTCTTATTTCTTTCTGCATTTCATCAATGTCCTAAAACACAACTATTTGACTATATTCACATCAAGATTTATATCTTTGTGTGCATTTTACTTGTTTATTTGTTTGTTTATTATTTTTTAAATTTTTTTATCCAATTACAGATGGCATCCTTCTTGGCGGAATTCTTGTAATGTATGAGTTCCATAGTTTCCTGCGCCCAATCCTTTTCATTATGTATTCATTTTGGATACCACAAATCATCAATAATGTCATTCGGGATACAAGAAAACCTTTGCACCCTCATTATATATTAGGCATGAGTGCAACTCGTCTTGCAATTCCTTTATACATATTTGGCTGCCCAAGCAACTTTATGCGCATAGAAGTTGACAGGGGTTGGTGCATATCACTATGTATATTCATGGGATTTCAAGCATTGATTCTTCTCCTTCAACATTATCTGGGTTCTAGATGGTTCATTCCTCGCCAGGTATGTAAGTTTATTTGATTTATTTTTTAAATAAGCTAGGAAGGGCATGTTTAGTTACTTTTTAACCTTGGAACTCTTTCAACCCAATCTTACAGGTTCTTAGTTCAATAAATGGTTTCTGTATAATTTGTCTTTCAAGTATATAGGATATAAGTGCATGGAGAGGAAAAAAATTTATGAAAAAGCTATACCCTTCTCATTTAATGAAAAGGAAAGTTTACAAAACGATGCAAAAGAAAGAAGAAAAATAATGCAAGTAAGCTGGTCAAAAAAATAGAATTATGGCAAAATAAAAAATCATTTCTTGAGGATTAGTATTCAAGCGTTCTGTGCAATTATTTCGTTAATTTTATTGATATTATTATGTAGATGTTGTTGTTATAGTATTGATATTATTATGATTAACATGTTTGATCTAGAAGAATATAAGATTCGTAATATCAATCTAAAGGAACCTCTGTTTTTTTTGTTAGAAATCTATATAGCATTTCTTTCATTCCATGTTTGAGAAGAAGAAAACATTCCACAAATATCTAATTTTTTTCTTTGTATATTCTTTGTCAAGTTGAAAGCACAAAGCCCAAGCTAATAATAGGAGATGAAATGCCAGTAAGATTATAGTCTCTTCCAAATATTAGATATGAAGTGACAGCCAAAGAAGACGAAAAGCATCTTAAAGATTCCCAGATCAAGTGTCACGGAGACCAAAGTGATAATACTTTTGTGTAGAAGCTAAATATTGCTACTTATTTTTCTCATAAAAAGGAGTCATTCAAGAAATTCAATTTAGAGAGGTATAATCAATTTTCAAATCTAAGAGGAATTAATTTTTGAGTATCCTCATCAATAAGAAAAGAGTAGAAGGAACTAAAAAAGAATGTAGATGAGGAAAGAATCCAAAAGGGGATGTCCTTTTTTTTATTTGGCTTAAATTATTTAGTATTTGATAAGACAAGTTCCTTGCGATCCTTTGAATGAAATTGTGTGATATCTTTCCAAAGATCATGCCATGCTGGACCACTGAAGTGATAAGATGCTACAAAGGGGTTAGAATTCCTATAAAAAATAAAAAGTCTGTGAATTGAATAACGAAAGGGCTGCTGATTTTTCTCTCCAAAAGTTGGTAATTTTACCATGACGGGTGTTCAAAGAGTTGTTTGACAAAAATGAATAAAAAACTTAACAAAAACTTTGATAAAATTTGAACATCGAGAGACTTTACTTGACCAAAGGTCTAAAGGAGTCAGAGTAGTTGATGTAACTTTTATGAATAATAGAATCAGCAAATGAATCATTATTAGACTATATGGATTATCAAATCCATTGACCTAGGATGGACAAATTTATACTCTTGAGATCCTTAATAACAAAGTCCCTCGTATTTTTAGGTTTGCAGAGTTTCTTCCACGTAATTTGATTAATGTCACTACCTTTTTCGTTACCTCCTAAAAAAATTCCTTTTGATATTATGAATCTTTTTGATAGCCTAATTTGGAATCTAGAAGAAAAAATAAGACAAGAATAGAAGATGATATGGAGTTAATAAACACAATATTAAGACAATTTTATAGTAAAATTAGAGGTTATAGGATGAGAAAGATTATACTAGAGGGATAATATGATTAGCGCATATTGAAGATAAATATGGGGAAATAGATTTTAGGGAGTTTATTGCATATTTGAGCTGACGGCTCTCCCAAAAAGAATTATTGGAGCTGAAGTATTGATGAAGTTGACTCAAATAGTTGGTAAGTTGCTACAGACTCTTTTTGGGGCTGTAGGATTGATGACGTTGACCCAAATAGTTGCTAAGTTGCTAATGATGATATGATGTTGATAAATTATGCCTTAATAGCCCCAATTTAAAGAAAGTATTGTTATGAAAGTTATAGTTAGCGCTTGTTTGGTTTCTCATAATTGACATTTTCGTTTTTTTATTATTTGTTTATGTCAAAAGTTGAAGAGTCTAATAAATCTGATAAAATTATCATATTTTATATCGTTATATTATAAAATAAATATGCAAATGGACACACAAATAATTGAGGAACAATATAGAGCTTATAAATTTGTGGGCACTAAGGTAGGTTTTCACGTGCGTTGATTTTGAACATTGTAAATGTTGGCTATGTAGGGGCTATGGTTATCAGAGGAGATTGTTGTGTTGTACTGGCTGAAAGCAATAGTGATTGAAGTTTGCATGAGATGGATATGGCATAAGGATTGTTGGAGATGGTTGCAGTGTATACTTTGTGATGAGATTGCTATTCTGCATCTAAAAGGGAAGGAATGTGATATCAATGAGATTATGGTATTGTAATGCAGTTCTTGATGTGGTGATGAATATAATACAAGAGGCTTTTGTGTTGTTTTGAAGGAGATGGTGGCACAATAGAGATTAAGGTACATGTCTTAATGTAAAGATGACAACGTTACAAGAGTGGTTGTAGCCCACTTTTTTAATGACAGTTGCTCATAGGATTTATCTTGGCTTTAGAACCTCTTAGGGCTTCGAATCCTAGAGATCCTTAATGATGGTCGTTTGTAGATTTACCTCATCTTTAGTCTCCCTAGGTTTGGAAATTCACCTTGGTTCTAGGCTCTCCTAGGCTTTAAAAATTCCATATCTTAATGATAATCTCTCGTAGGATTTTCACGGGCTATATGTTCCTCCAGATTTGAAAACTCCTATAACTTTGAATGCCTTAAATGAGAGATATATAGGCTTATTTATAGTTTTTAAGAATATCATTTAAATCTTTTTTTATAACACTTTTAATAGCCATTGTTAATAAATAATTTTTATTGATCAAAATTTTGTCGATCATATTTTGAGGATTTGCTTCTTAAATTTAGGGCTGCTAAAAAGCGAGGATGATACCGCACCATTTTTGTTTCAAAATATTCGTCTCTATTTATTGCAAGAAGATTGCGAAAGAAAGGTCTATTGACGTTGCAATGGATTTATAATGTTGAAATATTCATAAATGAAGTACGCAGTAATGAGCACACGTCAGCATGATTTTAACATTTTGGTATGTTGCTCTCGACAACAGCTTTCCTAGGGATGGCTCAGCATTTTGGAGGCCAACAGTGATGGCAATGGTTGAGCTTTATGTATGTTGTATTCTAATAGAGTTATTGATCCAATTGGCTAGGTTGGTTTCGCCCAAGTTGGGATGGTTAGGTTCAGGGCCCTCTGGTCATTCACAATCACATAAAATTGGTGTTAATGAAATTGTTATGCGAGTTGATCATTTTAGCTATATTTATTTGGTTTCCAAGCTCATTAAGCATCTGAATTAATTATCATGGTCAATTGAGGACCAAAGGGGTTATTTTTAGTTGCTTCAGGATCAGTACCTCGCATTGAAAATTATGTTCCATCAAATGGGATCTGTATGATTGTCTATAGTTTATTAATATATTATATTCTTTTGTTTCACTCTAGGGGGTGGAAATTTATTTATGTAGGCAGAATTCGAACCCATAACTTTGCAACAACTTCTAAAGATCTTTATAAACTGAACCAAATGTTGGATATATAAATTTCTGGCACCCACAGTACAATATATTCTTCTCCTTTAATTACTTAAATTTTTTGCATATATGCATTCGACATAAATATAGGTACATACAATATGAAATGTAATTTACACATTATAAATGACAATAATATTTTAAAATAATTTATACACCATATTAATTCATATAGTTTTGTATTCTATATTATACATGGATAATATATCATATGAAATTAATAAATTTTTATCTAATATATGAGATTATATATCATATATTTTAGTATAATTTATAAATGTGCATTAATTTTTAATATAATGTATATAATTTAAATATTTATTGTAATATTTTATGTCATAAATTATATTATTAAAATTATGAATTAATTTACGTGGATGTGAAAGTGATGCTATAATTTCAAAAAGATAAAAGATTATCACATTTAATGATTCCTAGAATTGATGCTACATAGATTGAAGTATTTGCATGCCGTAATGCATAGAAGACATGCACATTCTTTTTAGCCCCTCTAAAAAAATCATTTTTATAATTTACCCTTATGCTAAAACTTAAAAACAGACACATCCCCCCAATTTACCCATTTTTGCATTCATTTAAGTGTCTAAAATAGGCATATACATGCTAGCTCTGGTCCCATAGGATATGCTTGTAATGGAGATAAATGAATTATATATAAAAAGCTAATGACACCGTCTTTCCATTTTGCCCCTTGCAGAATATCTCTTAACCTTTGCTTCGACAGAGTTGAGTGTGAGAGCCACAGTAAATGGCGTTCTCTATGCAAATGAAGGCTTCGTTTGGGACGATTTTTTTATTGCTTTTTAAGACATAGTTCATGTATTAAAACTTTATTTTAAGAAGCAATAAAAAAGTTGTCCTAAACGAAGCTGAAGCTTTTTAACCACCTCCATTAATTATATGGCTTTTGCGCATCCATAGAACCTGAAAAATTACAAAACTAGTCATATTTGCTTGTTGTCTGCCAACTTAGTTTCTTTACATGAAAATGTTATCACCTCAGTGTTTCTTATGTTAGCCATTTTCCAGATATTGCCCGAGAAATATAGCTATACAAGGAGACCAGAGAACAATACCACCCAAGCCACTGACTGTGTCATCTGCATGACAGCAATTGAACTGACTCAGCGATCAAGTGACTACATGGTACTGATATTTCCCGTCCCTCGCAATTTTCTTGAGGTTTTTCTTTTTCTTTTTGTGCAGATTATCAAAATGCATGGTCTTTAAATTTCTTAGGTGTCTACTTAGTCCAATTCACAAATTTTGAACCAAATTAGTTTTACCATAAACTTTGCCATTTCCTTGGATAGAAACTGGTAGATATGAATGCTTTCGGCATTTTGGATTTTTTGCAGTTTATCGAACTTCTTAATATTTGCTTAAACTAATGCAACTGATTATAAAAGATCATAAATGCCCGCCTTCCTCTATCAAATTTTGTCGAAAAAAATAAAATAAAATTGACGCATTATCAAATTGTGGCCAAAATAATAAGAAAAATTTGCAGTATGATCAAATTGATTCAAATTTGGTGAGTTGGGGTGCCAAATTGGAGAGATTATTCTGTGCGGATACCGAACACAGCTTGCCATCCAGAGGCGAATCAGGTGCAGCCATGTCATCCAATACCGAGCAGTACCGAGCTCGGTACCAAGTAGGAGGTGATGTGGCGTATTTTCATGGGGCTCTAAACGGCGTTCGGTGTCCGCACAGAATAATTCATCGCCAAAAAATTGGCACATAAAAAAAACCTTTGCTTATATTTTCAAGTGTTCAAAATCGCTTTGGTAATGCAGGTGACACCATGCGATCACTTCTTCCATTCGGGCTGCTTGCAAAGGTGGATGGACATAAAGATGGAATGCCCTACCTGCAGGCGTTCACTTCCCCCAGCATAGTAAACACCTCAGTTAACTTTACCCTCCCAACTTTTTGGCCTGCAGATGGCAATTGGATGCAAAAGATTTCACTCTGCAGTCAGAGGACCATTGAAGCCTTTCAAAAGAGCTTGGGAAAGTAAAAAGGGAAATCTCTCTCGTTTATAAAGAGGTCTAGCATAGCTCCACAACTGTACAGTTGCATTGTACAAAATTAGGCCTTTTAAACGACTCTGATAATGCCATCCTGTATATGATTATTCTTCCACAACAGTATTTGGGATGCCATAGCCGTGAAAGAAGTAGCTTAGCATCATCCTTCAAATTATGTTGGGATTTGTGTGGTTGAGTTGGGGGTTCAAAATGGTAAATAAATGAAAGAAAATGTTGTGAGCAAAATTTTGCATTCTATTACAGTTTAATTAGAAGGCTCTTGTTGTTGCAGGGAAACCTCTTGGTTATATTTTATGCATTAGCAAGCTTACTGTAATGTTTTAACGTATAATTTAATAAATATTTATCAAGCCTTAACTATGGAGTATTTCATAACATGTTATTTTCTTATAATAATACTCTCCGTTGAACTTATATATCAATTAGTTGTGTTTTATCATATAGGAAAAGTTAGATGGCCTAAGTTTTAGGATTTATTTAGGATGATTGTAATTTTTTTATAAAGATGGTTGTGAAGTTATTATAATGAAAGGTTTTGTTTGGGACAATTGCCTCACTAGTTTTTAAGCATTTTTTTAGTTAAAAAATTTAGAATTAAAAAAAGAAAAATGTATTAAAAAATTGTTTCAAAAAGCAGTAAGAAAAATTTCTTTAAAGGGGTAGCTTTCGTACTGCTTTGTAAAACGATTTTTTTGTATACGAAAAAGTTGTTTTAAAAGCAATAAAAAGGTTATCCCAAAAAAAGTTAAAGTAGCTCTTGATAATATTGTTAAGATAAACTTCAATAGAGATATTGGAAGGAAAATGATGTAATCGATAATAATATTAATACAAAGTAATGGTGAAAGAGAGGGTAAAAGGTTCAGAGGTTGCCAAGTAGTACAATGTGCTAGTTGCAACACATTTATTAGTCTTTCTTGAGCTGCTATCTAAAAAAATTAGGGGGATTTACATATGCATCATTTTATATCATGCTATTTGCATATTTAATACTAAGGTTATTTATAGGTGATAGACATGAAATATTAAAATTTTAGGTGTGAGATATATAAATAGCATGTTATAAAGTGGTATGTATATAAATCCCTCAAAAATATAGTAAGAGGGATATATATATTTGAATGGATGTGCAATATCATTTCTATAAATATGGGAGGGTGAACCGTCAAAGTAATGAAAGAGGATAGAGAAGGCATGGGAGAGAGAAAAATAATGGACAGTTACTTGTTATTTGGGTAGAGGCATCTAAATTTAAAACCCAAGATCTACTAGTAGAGACACCTGCAGTTGTTCTAGAGAAAGGGATGGCATGAAATGCTAAAATAGATGTTTGAGATTATTCAAATCATAAATTATAATGTTTCTAAAAGATAGCAATGTATTTGTAGCAGGAAATACTAGGAGGATTGGGTAAGGGCTAGATTGATTGTAGAAATATGTTGGATTGTGGAGGGATACCAAATCTTTTTACCAACATTTAAAGGATGGTTAATTCAATTGAAATAAGGGTGGGAGGAAATGCATCATGATTTTTGTCATGATTGCCACTAGTCTATGACATCCAAAGCTCTCCTCAACACCTCTAAAGCTAGTTTCTAAGGGGTGGATTGGTGAAGAGTCAAAGGTCAAGGAGTTGAGAGCTCAATGATGCAAAAAAGCTCCTAAAGAAGTGCCTAATGATAGGAACCATGGAGTTTACCATTTATTGGGATTAGGATCCCTAGAAACCCTGCAAAGAATGACTTAGATTGGAGATAATTTTAAAGATGAGAAAATCATCCTTCTGATTTTGCCAAATTATTTGATCAAAGTGAAATGCTTGCTATTTTGAAACTAGATAGGAAATACAAAGTGAAATGCTTGCTATTTTGAAACTAGATCTTTGAATTGATATTTTTACCCCCTGTGCAAATTAGTAATAACCCCCTGTGCTAATTAGTATTTTCACCCCATGTACTAATTTGTATCCCTCATTTATAATTCTCTGCTTGCTTGATAGCTGATAAGATCTCACTCAAACTCATACTTTAGCAATCATAAATCATAACTATTGCAATGAATTTAATAACGCAACTTCCATGATATAAGAAATGTTCATTGTAATATCATTATTGTGAAGTGAGCAATTTTTTTTTCTCACTAAGCTTAATGCTATATCTGGTCAATAAATTCCAAAATTCTCAATAACATTTATAAACATTTTTTATTTATCGATTTATTTGATCATCAAATAAACTTGATAATAAAATAATGCATTAAGTAACTCATCAATTTCATAAACTTATTTGCATATGCATCATTATGAATATAAAGTTTAATGAAATTGGCTAGAATCCACAAATTAAACAAAGTAATATCTATAAAAATTGATGAGCTAAATCTTATTGTTTGGAACACTCATTGCTTCATACTCCTAAAAAATAACTATTTCTCTCGAGAGTATAATTTTTGCATATGAAATGCTGGATCTTCTAAAGGAGTATAGTTCAGCTTGACTTGTATAATACAACAACAACTACTACTACATCAAGCCTTTTATCTCGTTACATAAGGTTGGCTACCTGAATTATTTTTCTCCATTGTATAATGTTAAGAGTCGGATTCTCATTTAAATCCTAATAAAGAAAAGTCATTTCTAATATTTTTAACCTAGTCTTTTGAGGTCAACATCTACCTATCTTAACATAAGTCAAATATAATATATCTACTCTCTTTACCGGGTCATTAGATGGCCGTCATTTTATGTGTTCAAAATATCTAAGGCGACTATCTCTAATCTTATCTTCCACTGGAGCTACTTCAACCTTTCTAATATATGCTTATTTCGTATCTTATTTCTAAGAGTAAAGCCACACATCCACCTAATCTTACTCATCTCTACAACACTTAACTCAATATTATGTTTCTCTTTTAATGGCCAACATTTTATACCATAAAACATTGTAGGTCTCACCACCATCTTATAAAATTTTACCTTAAACTTGACTCATTTAGGTCTCACCACCATCTTATAAAATATTCCCTTAAGTTTGACTCATTTAATCAATGAAGAAAATTATATTGAATACATTTTGCAAATAATTTTAAATATAAACAATAATTTGGGAGAAGTTCAACTCTAGAATAATAGTAGAAAATAGCTTTTATTCATTCTTGGTATAGAATGAACTAGCTTTATAGTTGGATGTACTTCTATTATCTCTCTTACTGTCTCCTCAAAAAATAGGAATGCTTTCTTTCTTTTAATTTTAAATGTAATAGACTAAGAGAAGTATGTATAATGAATTTATAGAAGTCATCTTAGCTCTATGCACCAACATGTATTTAAAAAAAAAAATTAGAAAGTGAGATTGGCAAATTATATACTCATTTCCTTAATATAGGCAATTGATATAAAAATATACACTTACATCTTTATTCATGAGCTACAATAAAAAATCTCTATTTAGGAGCATCTTTTTGCTCCTATAGCTTAGCATCTTTGAAACTCTCTCCGTAAGAAACTCAACACATCTTTTTCCTCAGTCTATGATGGCTTTATAAGCCAAGTATTATAATATTGTTGCATATCTATTTATAGTATATTGACTTGGAGCATTTTTCTTTAGGACAGAAGCCTCATAATGTATCATATCCTCCTTTAGCTCTCTTAGTTTTCTCTCCTATGATATCCTAGCTCATTAATATCTAAAAGACACATCCTTATTTTTTATCATGAGAACTATTTTAGTGAACCAGTGTTATGCTTGTCATGGCTGAGGAGGACATCATTGTTCAAATAATAAATGCATTTAGAAGGTAGCTTTAACATGATAACTAACGTACAACTGAAGTCTCACAGCAAAGGGATTTTCGATTTATACTATAAAATTTATTTTCAATCATAAAAGATAAATAAAAAATATTAGCAAAGTTCTAAGAATATGAGTATAGAAAGATAGTTGTCGTGGATTTTTGCCATGCTGAAGACCCATGCTTAATAATTTCTAAAAATAGAAAATGTGATGAAAAGAAGGTCAAGATGTAAACATGTTGAGTCGAGCTTGAGTCACCTCCAATTTGAGCTTAAACTTGAACAACTCATAAGTTGGCTCACAAGTGAGCTTATTTATTAAGAAAAATAAAAAATCATTCTTATTCAATCAATTATTACAGTAACATGACAAAAAGAATATGAAATTAAATTATAAATAATAAGAAGTCATTTAAAATAAAGATGAGATATATAAATTTTAAATTTTTTTAACAACTTATATAAAAATTATTGAATTCAATATATTTTAAGTGTCTTCTATTAACATTTTCTTGAACGAATTGATTCACTAGATGAGAATTCGAGCTGGAGCTAGCCCAATCTCTAATCACTAGCTCATCGAGTTCGCTTAACAAGTCATTTATCGAATTGACCCTGACTCGGCTTAACCAATTTGCACCTCTAATTATAATATAATAATCAATTTAAAAAAATTGCATGAAATATTTATCTATATGATCATCCTACCCAAATCTATTATTATTCTAATAGTAATGAGTATCCTTGTCAACTCTATTATGATAATTAGTTATAAAAAGAGTCATGCAAGTGGAGAAAGAGGATACCACTAAGGGAAAAATAATTATTTAACGAATAATACGGACACCAACTCAAATTATATGAGCAATAAATATTCATAAGCTCTTTCCGCGAATATTATTTTATTATAAATAAGCTTTGTGAGATGTGATGCCTAATGTGTCATGCTTTATTATCTGTTATCGATAGTTGTTGCTAGTTTGTTTTTTAATTAATTAAATATTTAAGATAGGTACCATCACGAGGAAAAAAATCAGCTTTTCCGCGCTCGTCAAGGAGGTGCGGAGCAGAGTGTAATGCATTAGGCCCGGAGAAAACGACGAGAAAGACGGAGAGAGATTAGGGTTTGGGTTCTGTTGTCTCTAGAGAATCAGCGAGAGTTCTCTGCAGGATGCTGGCTGCCGCCATTTCATGGCTTTTCTTTGTCAGTTCCATTTTCTGTCTTGTCGCTTGCCTGGTCTCTGCTGTGCCTAATGGTGAGCTATCCGTCATACATATATATTTGTTTCAGTTGCTTTGCTCGTGGATAGAAGAATGCTATATATATGCTGACTAGAAATGTGCAATTCCTTAAATGGGATTTTTTTTTCTTGGATTATCTGGTGGATTGCTAAGATTGGTTAATTTTCTTTCGTATTTGTGAGAAAAATCTTTCCTTGTATGAGGAGTAGGATGTGCAGGAAGAATCATATAATTTATCTGTCATTCTTTATTTCTTTGTTTGTCTTAAATTGCTTGAGCAATTGAGCTCTGGGCTTTGTTTCAGATTGTGAATATATAGTTTGAATTGCTTACTTGGGGATGTGGTGTTATGACATTGGTGTAATTCAAACTATGAAATGTGAAAAAGAGTAAATTTGATTGGAGCTGAAAATATGGATAGATGAGTTTAGTGAAATAGGCTAATTTAGGGTCATTATTGGCTGCAGAAGAAATCATTAGGTGGTCTTCGGGGTTGTGCAAATGAGTAGATTTTATTAATTGAATGTGGTGATTGATGGCCAGCTTTTGGCATCCTATGTTTGACCTCACCCTTGCAATTTTTCCATTTCATTGGCACACAACACTAGCAAATCTTTAGGCATTATCATGCACCAAGTTTCCACTCAATCATTGGTTATTACTTGGGATTTAATTGCTCTTGGACATTGTTTAGTCATGATAGAAGCCCACTAAAATACCATGGGATTTAGAAATGACATGACCATTTGATCTCAATCGAATCTTGACCTTAATGGTTCATCTCATCTAGAGCCATATTAGTTATAGTCATGTGTGACCTAGTGTTACAGTCTGAACCTAATCAACCAAAATCAACTAATGCTATTGAATGGTACGCCGAAGCTTTGTTCTCATTTTTTCTCTCTCTTTGTTTGAAGAATATTTATAATTATTTTGTTTATGCAGAACCATTTGCGATTCGCATTAGTTGTGGCGCTCGTGAGGATATTCGAACCAAACCAACAAATACTTTATGGTATAGGGACTTTGGTTACACTGGTGGAAGATACACAAATGCATCAGTTACAAGTTCTATTGTTCCACCGCTTCAAACACTTCGCTACTTTCCTCTATCTGATGGTCCAGAAAATTGCTACAACATCAACAGGATTCCTAATGGACACTATGCAGTGAGGATATTTTTTGCATTAGTGGCAGATTCAGACCTGCAAAATGAGCCAGTTTTTGATATTTCTGTTGATGGCACTCAGACATACTCTATGAAGCCAGGATGGAGCAACAGTGAGGATCAGTCATTTATGGAAGCACTGATATTTGTGACAAAGAGAAGTCTATCTGCTTGTTTCCACAGCACTGGTCATGGAGATCCTTCTATCCTTTCAATTGAAATTCTTCAAGTAGATGCAAATTCATATAATTATGGTCAGTCAAGGAGCCAAGTAATGATTCTTCGAACTGCCAAGAGATTGAGTTGTGGTACCGGAAAGGCGGCCTTTGATGAAGACTACAATGGTGACCATTGGGGTGGAGATAGATTTTGGCTGGGAACTCCATCTCTTAGCCAAGGCTCTGATCAATCTATCTCAACTGAACGAAGCATAGCTGAAGCATCACTTCCACCTAACTTTTATCCGAAAAAGCTCTATCAGTCCGCAATCATAAGCACTGATCGACAACCTGATCTAACATTTGAAATGGATGTGGATCCAGGAAAAAATTATTCAATATGGTTTCACTTTGCTGAGATTGACCCAAGAGTAACAAATGAAGAAGAAAGGGTATTTGATATATTGGTGAATGGTGATGTTATTTTTGAGAATGCTGATATCATTCGTATGACTGGAGAGGGTTATACTGCACTAGTCCTAAATAGGACTGTTGCTGTTAGTGGAAGGACTTTAACAATTATTTTGCACCCTACGAAAGGATATGCCATTATTAATGCTATTGAAGTTCTTGAGATTATTCCATCAGAGCTTAGAACTTTACCAGAGGAAGGTACGTGTGCCTCAGCAATATAATATGGTAATAACAAATATATAACTTTTAGTCATTAATCTTAATGAGATTTTCTGATCGCATATAACCTAAAAAATTACTAAATTATATAATATGCTAATAGAAAAATTATAACTGTTACTCCTGAATCTTATAACTTGAATTCAGGATTCTGATTTACACCAAAAAAAAAAAAACATAAATTGTAAATGAAAAGTACAATAGATAGTTGATCTTTGGACTCGGTTCCTTTTCTGCTAAGATCTACTTAATGAATGTAAAATTTGTAGAGTAGCACTTAACAATAGCCCTACTCTTGACGTTTTATTTGAAAATTTTTAATGGTTCAAGTCCATTAGAAAAACGCTTGGAATGTGACCCAGCGACATGCATGAAAGTTTGTTGTTGGCCTTGAGGACTAAGTTCTATTAGACTTTTGACATTTGCTTGAGAATTTCAACAAAGTTTTGACCATAACTTTTTGATGATGCTTTTAAATTTTGGTTGAACAGCACCAAAACTCACGATAAAACCAAAATTGAAAAAAAAAATGATTTGGTTTTAGATGCGTTTAAATCAAAATATATTTGAAAAGTACTGAAATCAATCTGAATTTAAAACCTTGATTAGCATGTGTTTGGCTTTCACGTTAATTATAGATGATAAAGATTTAAAAGTGCTGAAATCAAAGGAAATATTATTTGAGTAGTTCTTGATTACATGGAGAGTATTCTGATGATGTTTCTAATTAATGTTATTGTTATTCCATAGTCAGCACTCTGCAAACTTTAAAGACATCTCTAGGTCTTCCACTTCGTCTTGGCTGGAATGGTGATCCATGTGTTCCCCAACAACATCCCTGGAGTGGAGTGGACTGCCAATATGATAGCAAGAGTGTGAGATGGGTCATAGATGGCCTGTACTTTCTCAATCTTATGCTTTTCAATGTTTGGCTTATAGCGATCTCGTATTCTCTGTTATCTTGTTTGAAACGGCTTGTAAATATTTCTCTTTTCTTATTGAAATTCTTTTCAGGTTTTCTTTTGTTCATGCTTTTTTGCAAGTTTGTATTTAAAACATTGACATCATAATTAACATTTGGGCATGAAGTGTACAACAAAAAGCATTACACCTATTTCCATGGTTTCATTATGATGGGGAACACGCTTGCGGAGAAAATTGTGCATCTCTGAGAGTGGCAGTGATTTTATTTAATAAAACCCCACATCATAGCATTACCAAGTGAAGTCTTACCTTTTGTGCTTGAGGAAAGATTTTTTTGGTTTGCAATTTGTTTGCTTTCAAACCTTGATCCTATTAATTAGGGTCTGGTCCTTCATTTCTTTCCTATATTTCCTTCTGGAAGTTTGGGTGTTTGTATAATATAGATTAGGAATGCAACAATAATTAAAATATGACAGTATGTTTTATACTTTTATTACTCCACGTGCTAAGCAGGATAAATAAGATCAAACCATAAGGTCTTCAGGGTCAAGTTAATTGAATTGAGTTTCAAAAGACAGCACCATCTCATGCTACTTTTTACATATTAGTTTATATATATATATATATATTTCATGCTCCCTCAGTTAGCCTACAAATAGGATTGTATGTTGTACATTACACAATAAATAGAAATTAGTTCTCTCTCTTTCACTCTTTCTCATTTGCTTTCTCAAATATATTCAGAAATTTATGCTTCATCCGCTCATACGGCTCCCAAGTAGCATCATAACCAGGTAGGTTTTTCCACTTAATCAACACTTCATTACTTCCTCCCTCCACCCTTTGTACTCTTACCAACTCCGGTGGTTCCAAGATCACCTCCAAATCTTCTGTCAGTGTCATTGGTAATTCTGCAATTGAGGTGTGATCCTCTATAGCTCTCCTCAATTGTGCGTGGAATACTAGATGTATGGTTGCGGTCGGGGGTAGCTTCGATCGATAAGCCATTGCATCGATCCTTTCTACTATCTCAAAAGGGCCTAAGTACTGCGGAGCTAGGTTTTCATTCCTTCTACTAGCCACTGTCCTTTGCCTGTAGGATGAAGCTTCAAATACACCTTATCCCCTACCTCAAACTGAATATCCTTTCGGTGCTCATCAGCTTGCCTTTTTATAATCTACTGAGCCCTCAACAGATGTCTCTTCAATTCCTCTAGTATCCTATCCCGATCTTCCAAGTACTATTACTGATGTGCTATTCTGCCCAAAGTGCACCAAGTGAAGCGGATCCCTACCATACAACACTTTGAAAGGAGTTATCTAAGACGCCGAATGGTATGAATTTTTGTATCAGCACTCTTCCCATGCCAATCACTTAGTCCACAACCGAGGTGTCTCTGAAACAAAGCATCCCAGGTATGTCTCTAAGCTCTTGTTGACCACATCTGTCTGTCCATCTATCTGAGGGTGGTAAGCGGTGCTCCTCTTCAACACAGTTCGTTGCAACCTGAACATCTCCCTCCAAAAGTGACTAAGGAATATCTTATCTTGATCGGACACTATAGATTCTGGTATCCTGTGCAATCTAATAACCTCTCTAATGAAAGAGAACACCACTGCTACTGCCATGTAAGAGTGTTATAGCAAAATGAAATGAACATATTTGCTTAATCTATCCACCACCACCATAATAATTGTGAACCTCTCTAATTGAGGTAGCCTGTATATGAAATCCATAGAGACCTCTTCCCACACTCTGCTTGAAAGGGCCAAAAGTTGTAGCAGCCCCTAAAGCCATAGTCATATACTTGTTCCTCTGGCAAACCTCATACCTGGTCACCATTTCCTCTACATTCTTGTGCATCCTCTTCCAATATAATTCAACAGCCAATCTCCCATATATCATCTATACACCTGAGTGACCCTCAATACCACTCTTGTGAAACTTCTGTAGCAAGTGTGGAATATGAAATTGAGGTTTGTGGCAGCATAAACCTCCCTTGTTATAGAAGTTTCTCCCCATCTACGGAATAGCCAAGATGACTACTCTCATCCTTCAACATATCCCTTTCTGATCCTTCTCAGCTCCTTGTCCTGCACACTTTCTTCCTTAATAGCCCCCCATTCGAACATCAACGATATCAAAATGGCTAATTCCTGGAGCTCCCCCACGCATCTGAATAAGGCGTCACCCGCCTTATTTTCTAGCCCTCGACTATACTGGATCTCGAAATCATATCCCAACAACTTTGATAACCACCTCCGATGCTCCTTGGTCACCATCTTTGCTCTAGTAAGTACTTCAAGTTTTGATGGTCGGTCCTGACGATGAAATGCCGACTCAACAAGTACGGCCACCACTTCTGAATAACTAATATAATGGCCATCAATTTCCTCTCATAAATCGATTTTAGCCTAGCTCTAGCTGTCAACACCTGGCTAAAGTACGTTATAGGTTTATGATTTTGCATGAGTATTGCCCCCAGCCCATATTCTGAGACATCAGTCTCCATCACGAACATTTGGCTGAAATTGGGTAGTGCTAGGATTGGAACCGTGGTCATGAGAGTCTTCACTCTCTCAAAAGCTTGAGTAGCTACCTCTCCTCACAAGAAGCTATCATTCTTCAGCTGCTTTGTTAGAGGCCAGGTGATAGTGATGTATCCCCTCACGAAACTTCTGTAGTATCCTGTCAATCCTAAGAAACCCCTTAGCTCCCTCAGGTTTCTAGGTAAAGGCCATTTCAACATTGTCTCAATCTTGGCCTGATCAGCGTCCACCCCCCTTCTTGGGATACCATGTGCCTTAAGTACTCCACACTCGCCTGTTCTAAAAAGCATTTATTCAGATTGGCCCAGCTGATGCTCCTGTAACTCCTCTATGACTGCCCTTAGATGCTCCAAATGTTCCTCACTGGACTTGCTATATGAAAATATGTCATCAAAGAAAATCAGAACAAACTTCTTGAGGTACGGTCGAAATACATTGTTCATGAGGGACTGGAAGGTAGCAGGGGCATTGGTGAGACCAAACATCACCAAGAATTCATAATATCCATCGTGTGTCCTGAAAGCTATCTTTGGAACGTCTTTCTCTCTCATCTGGATTTGATGATACCTCGACTTCATGTCCACCTTCATGAATGCCTCCGCTCCACAAAGTTCATCTAACAGCTCATCTATTACTGCAATAAGGAACTTGTCTGGCACAGTCTCCTTATTTAGGGCCTGATAGTTCACGCAAAGTCACCAACTTCCATCATTCTTTTTGACCAGTAAAATTGGGCTGGAAAAATGGCTTACGCTCGGCTTGATGATCCCTGCCTCCAACATCTCTAGGATCAACTTCTTAATCTCATCTTTCTAGATCATGGGTAATGATAAGACCTGATACTGATCGGTGATACCACTTCCCTTAACATGATGGCATGCTCCTATCGGAGCTGCTATATAATCGGCTGTGCTGACACAGGGATGCCCCCCCCCCACCCCCCTCTATACCTTTCGCACTTTGTAGCTGCACCAGAAACCCACCCTACACCCCCTCCTGTATGGCTCTTACCATGGTTTTTAATGACACTGGCTTTAGAGAATCCTACATCTCTCTTAATCACCATCCTCCCTTCCACCATGAGCTCCATTGTCAGCATTCCCCAGTTCACCTTGGTATCTCCCAAAATCTGCAACCATCTCATCCAAAGGATGACATTAGTGCTCCCTAGCTCGAATGAGAGAAAATCACCCCTCATCTGGATCCCCTGTATGGTCAAGACCACTCCCCTACACACTCCGCTATCTCTCTCTATCTTCCTCATTCCCGACAAGGATCTTTCTGTCAGGTTGGGTCGACTACCTCCTCTAACTAAGTAGACCAGGGACCACGATTGCCCGGGATGACAGAACCATGGGATCTTGATTGGGTCCATCATCCATTCCCCCACCATCCACTTTAAGAGCAAGATGGTGAAATTTCTAATTTTAAATATCAAACTTTCCAAATTCCAAAATTCAAGCCCATGCTATTACTATATGCCAGATAATGCGTATTTCTACGTATCTGATTGACGACTAGCCTTAATCGAAAGTTCTCTCTCATTATCGAGAGGGGTAATTAACTATAGGAGTTTGCGCCTATAGGAAACTAGAACTCAGATCATAAAGTTCTCATAAAATGAGTGCGAAATCTTTGGGTAGTGTCTTATCTACAAACCCATCTGCCTTCCCAAAATTTACCCCGGAACTAAATCCGTTAAAACTCCCTCGACTGAAGAAAAGCACAGCTGGCGGAAACCGGGGCCGAATTTTCGGAGCCCACACTTACTAATATTTTTTCATTATATATAGGGGAAAAAATAAATTCATTTGAAAAGGTAGGAGAGAGACTAGGAACTTCAAAATTAAAAGCTTGCCTCATATTGTTGATATTGCGTGAGATGAATTTCAGTTGAAATTTCATAAAATAGGGTAAAGAAGGTCTTAAACCATGATCAAGATTAGCTTTCATTTAACAGATGGTAACTTCATCATTGGTCGTCTTTTAAGGGCTGCATTCATGTACATTAAGCTATGTTTTGGATATGTAGATGTACCGTATATGGGCTTAAATTTTGTAACTCAGAGCTTTAGCTATTCAGTTGTTCGAATGGATTTTGTTTTGAGTCGTTTTTATTTCTTTAGTATGGATAATCGCTTCATAACTTTTCTGCTTTGGAATTTGGTTCTCCTGCTTTTTTAACCATACATTATGTGCAGATGCAAAGGTTTAAATGTACTTCAGTCATTCTTCATTGTCCATTGAGTTGAAATTTTCTCTTCTTGACATGCAGTGGACTTGACAACCAAGGTTTAAAGGGCTTTTTGCCAAGTGACATATCCAAGTTAAAACATCTAGTGAGCATGTATGTCCTTGAAAATTTTTATTCAGTGAAATAGTGAATTATTTTACAATTTTAATTTGTTGTAGATATTTATTGTTTACATCATGCAGTAACAAAATGCTTTTTTGTAATAGTTATGAAGGGGCTGTTGGTTTGCAGTAAAGTTGGTGTAAAGTATTTCTTTTGCAGGGGTTTTTAAAATATAGATGATTGGTTGGATTAAAAAGGAATGCGGTGTAAAGTATTCTAAATATAATATAAAGTATTTTAGTTCATTTTTGAGATAAAATAAATTCACCTAGTTTTGAGTGAAAACTGCTTTCATCGCAACCAAACTACCTTGACATCACCCATCTGCTCTTCCCACCGCCATTGGCTACCACAGTTGTCATTGGTCATCACCACCGCCACACACTACAATTGTCTATTTTTATTAATATCCAATTTCTTAAATATTTTCAGTACCATAATGTTTAACTTACCATTCCCATTCTTCATACCTGCAGACTTGCTTCAACATTAAAGATGTGTGCTCTTTCTTAGGCATGTAAAAGCTTGTTTTTAAACTTATTTTTTTTCCATCTGGTACTTTCTGATAGAAACTTGAGTGGAAACAACATCCAAGGGAGCATTCCATTCTCTATGGGGACTATTACTGGATTGCAAACATTGTAAGTGCATTCCATTTTTAGGCTTGTTCTTTCGAGTTATATTCTTTAGATTTTATTGTTTAATTATTAACTTGTCTTCAGTTTCTCGATTTTATTTATCCTCCCTTGGTAAGGGCTTATTTCTCTCATACATTTTGTGGAGCAGCATACTCTTTGCTTAGCAAACTCATTATATCGTCTGTCTTTACTTTGTATAAGTGGACACAAGCTTGGGCTCCCACCAAATTGACTGTGTGTGCTGGTTTGTTCTCGACTGAATCATTAATTTTTCTGATCCAATGCTCTTGGTTGGGTTTAGGCACTGGAAAATCCACTAACCTGGCTCAGCTCAAATTGGCTAAGATAGATTTATGAGGTCGACCTCTAGACCAGAGAGGAAACTTTTTCCCTGTCAAAGAGCATGTCCTGAATGTCTATTTTTTTTTTCCTTTCAGTAGGGGAATTGCAAGTGCCAAACAATTTATCCAGCTCAAACCGAACTTGACCAGCAAAGTTCACTGCCCATTGGATCAATAAATTGTCTAACTTAATTTTTTGACTGTATTTCTAAGTTGGCACAAAGTCAGAACAGAAGAAAAAGATAAAAAAAAAAACAATTATAGTCCATAAAACATGAATGCTACAAAACGTTGGACTTCATTAGACATTTTCTTATTAATTAACCTCAAGGAAACAACAATTCAAAGAACTTTTATCATGACAATGTTTTCTTAATCATTTGACTTCCTGACCTATTTTCCTCTCCTTTGAAATAGACTCTCTTACAATTTTGATTTAAACATTATCAACTTCATCATTGCTAGAATTTTCCCAACTACTTGAGGCCAGCCGTAGAGATTCTTTCCTTATTCACTCAAGATTGAGTTAAATCTTGCTCTCGCATTAAAACAAAAATAAATGAAGAATATTAATTTAAAAAACAACTTTGCTAAGCATTTAAAGCTAAAAAAAAAAATCTCATGCTGCTATAGAGATCTATTGTAAATGTTATTATATGAAATAAGTTTTTTAGTGTATTTTTAGAAAACTACATTAAAGTTAGTTCACATAAATTGGGGAATAAAGGAATGGAAACATTATTCAATTTAGTACATATGAAACTCAAAATCTATTGCATCATCATCATTATCATTACCGTTATACCAATTTTTTAAGGTCAATTTTATAAATCCTCATTTATCAATCATCTTTGTCGAGTGATGCAAAGTTGTTTTAAAGTGATTATATTTATATAGGCAGCTTTAAGAACAATTGAAAAACAGATTGCTCATAATATTGAAAGCTAATCTACAACATCAACCCTTTATCCCACTATGTGGGGTCGGCTATATGAATCCTTTTTCTCTATTGTGTCCGGTTAAAGTGAATCATTGCAATATAATGACTTATGTCAATTGTTTATGCAGAAATAGCCTTTAAATTTTTTCTCTTTTAATAAAAAGTATGTCTCCTCATCATTGTGGGCTCTAAGGAAGAGTTGATCAATATTGCTTTACCCTTGCATATATGGAGCCTCTTTTTATGATTTGATTATATAAATACTATATCACAGTGGAGAAAGATAATAGAAGGGTCTTGTTCTACACCTTATGGTAGTTAGAAAGTGAGATTTCATTGCTAACCCATTGAGAAAATCCTCTTTATAAGGGAAAAAATTGATCCGAAGGATAAAAATGTTATAGCACTTTTCATAACCGCCACATTTTCTTAAATATTGCTAGCTCAACAATATATATTAATATTAGTAGTAAATTTTTTTCAAACAAAGAAGCCACATCAAAAAGAAATTATGCCACATCAAAATCTTTTCTATTTTTGTCTCTAGCTGCATTGTCATTATTATCGTATGATGGTAAGGTAACAACAACAACAACATCAAGCCTTTATCCCACTATTTGGGGTCATCAACATGAATCCTTTTTCTCCATTTTGTCCGGTTAAGAGTCAAATTCTCATTTAAATCTAATAAAAGAAAAGTATTCTAATATTTTCTAACCAAGTCCTTTTTTAGGTCGCCTCTACTTTCTTAACATAAGTCAAATATAATACATCTAATTTCCTAACTGGGTCATTTGAATGACCGTTCATTTTATGTGACCAACATCCTAAGGTGACTCTCTCTAATTTATCTTCAACTGGAAGCATAATCTCAACCTTTCACGTATGTACTCATTTTGTATCATGTCTCTAAGTAAACCCACTCATCCACCTGAGAATCCCATCTTTGTAACACTTAACTTAATATCTTCTCTTTTAATGCCAAACATTCTGCACCATTAAAGCATTGCAGGTCTCAACGCCACTCTATATAGTTTTTTCTTAAGTTTGAAGAGGTGACTTGTTCTATATACTATAACAAGCTTGATGCATTCTTCTCACTTCAACCATCCAACTTGAATTTACTTAAATAATATCCTCATCTATTTCTCATTCCAACAAAGACCCAGATAATCTAACAATGTGTACTCTCTTAATGACTTGATCTACTCCATAAGTCACCAATCTCCCATTAGATCTATTATTACTACAAAATACACTCCAATATTCAATTTTAGATCTACTCAAATGAAGCTATAAACTCTAAAGCTTAACCTCCCCAAATTCAAGTTTACCTTCAACTCCTCTCTAGCTTATCACACAAAAGAATATCATCAACAAAAACATCACCAGGGTATAAACCTCTTTGCAAATGTCAGTGAACTCCATAACTAAAGCAAAAAGATACGAGCTTAAGCTGATCCATGATGTAATCCCAACTGAATAGGAAAATAACTTGGTCAAACACCTTGTGTGTTTAACACAAAAAACAACTCCTGCATGCATATCCTTAATGACTTGAATATAAGCATTATTAACCCATTTCTTCTCTAGAACTCTCCATAGAACTTCTCTTGGAACTTTATCATATGTTTTCTCTAAATCAATAAATATCATATGTAGATCCTCCTTATTCTCTCTATACTTCTCCATCAAACCTCTCAATAAATATATAGCTTCCATAGTAGACCTACCCGATATGAATCCAAATTGATTTTGAGAAAAATCAGTATCCAGCAGCAACCTATGCTCCATCTCTCTCTCCCATAGTTTTAAAGTATGACACATTAACTTACTTGCTCTATAATTCGCACAATCTTTTGCATCACCTTTATTTTTAAAAATATGAATCAACAAACTCATTCTCCACTCACCTGAGATTTTTTTTAGTTTTCAAAATAATATCAAAAAGTTTAGTAATTTAAGAAATTCTTTCATCTCCTAAGTATTTTAACACCTCTATTGGAATATCATCAGGTCCAACAGCTTTTCAACACTTCATTTTTTTGAAAGCATCTCTAACTTTGGTTTTACTAATTCGCCATAAAAATAAAAATCTTTATTTTCATTTAGGATGCTAATGTCACTAAAGTCAATCGCATTCTCACAATCTTTATTAAAAAGTTTAGTAAAATATCTCATCCATCTTTGTTGAATATTCTCTTCTAATAAAAGGTACTTTTTGATCTTCATCCTTAATACGCTTCACTTGAATTAAATCCTTACCACTCTTATATCTTTGTTTGGCTAACTTATACATATATATTTCGTCCTCCTTAGCATCTAATCTATTATATAAATAATTAAAAGCTAAAATCTTTGTATCGCATATTATTTTTTTAGACTACTTCCGGGTCCCTTTATATCTTTCCCAATTTTCAAACTTTTTACATCTAAATCAATTTTTATAACAAATCTTTTTATTTTTATGTTTTCTTGCACATCTTAATTTCACCACCAACTATTTTTTGTATTAGTAGTTTTTCCCTTTGATACTTCAAGCACATCTTTTGTAACATTCTTAATACCACTAGCTAATTTTCTCACATAATATTAGCTTCCTCCAGCACAGACAAAATCTTAAGATCTATAATCTTACTCTAAAAAATATTTTTGTTAAAATTCTTTAAATATTTTCATCTAATCCTAGAACAACGTTTTACTTTATTTTTTTATTTTTTGCCCATTTATCTTAAAGTCCAAAACTAATAAGCGATTTTGGATGAGAATTTTTTTTAATATTTTATCTTACATGATAAGTTGAGAGTATTGTGCTACTCTTTTTCTCCCTGCTTCTCTTTTCTTTACACATTTTATTTTTAACATTAGTCATAGCAATGCCAATTTGAGAGAGTTAAACTTCTATATTGCTTATTATGATAGAGATACTCAATTCTTAAGTTTTAATATTGAGATATCGCTTATGTCACGACCCGATGCTCGATTTAACGAGGCGGGAAGTAAAAGTCGGATGGTAAAATTCATTAAACATTACACTACTTTCTCATTTGTACTGAAGAGCCACTAATACCCAAATTATAACTTACATGTTATCATTTGCACGTCGTCTTCTATAGACGAACTCTTCCCTTTATGTTATTTTTAAATCTTTGGAGATTTACCTGAAATATTTAATTAGTGGAATGAGTTTATATAGTAAACTCAGTGGGTAACAATTAAAATAATTTATATGCTTTAAAGTACAATATACATATATATTGTTATATACATAACATTTGATATTGGTTCATTAATTTAACATTTGAGGCATATTTATTATTTTCTTTCTTTATTTCATTTCATTTCATATACATATTATATCGTATTCTTTTCTTTACCTTTTACATACCATATCATGTTCATCTATAATATTTACTTTAGCAATTATTCTTTTTCCTTATTTTATATTGTACAGGAGCATCGTCTAATTGTATTAAAGGTACAACAATTTCTATTTCCTTTTTCATTTTCATAACATTTTCCTTATTTTTCGTGCACGGGTATGTTGCTTCCACAACCAGTACCATACGGGGGTGAACTCCTGTAAGCTTTGCATGCATAACATTTCCTTTTCCTTTTTTTTTTTTTCTCAATTATATTTATATCATTTCTTAAACATTTATTTATTTACATTCTTGTGTGTATAAGTATGTGTATGCCTTTTATTTTCACTTCTCATTTCT